CCGACGTCTGAGTCCTTACGAGGAGGAGTCCCAGGACGCAGCCTGATTCCAACAGCTCCAGCTCCTTAAGCTTCGAGGCCTTCCGCCTCTCGCAGAAGTGGGCGTTGTCTCTGAATTCGAGGCTTCTGTCAAGCAAGACAGGAGGTACTTTGCTGTCGGGGCTGAAAAAGCGGGACGTCCCGACTTCCTGAGCACTCTCCCTGGGTGTGGTCTCTCCTGCGAGTCTTGTGAGGGAAACAGCTGCCTGGCTCTTATTAGCCATCTTTGTGCCGAGTGATAGCTCGACCCGGCCGCCTCTACCCTAGCATTCAGGCTTTTTCCATGCGTTCTGTGGCATGGGAGGGCTCACACCAACAGTAAGTAAGGCACTTTGGTGGAGCAAGGCTCGGCCTACGTGCAATGCAAGGATTTGGCAAGCTGGCTGCACCTGCAGTGCCATTGCACACCTCAGACAGGCCGACAGTTCCAGTAAGTAGTGCCTTCCTGCGCCGCGTCGGAGCAAAAAAGATTAGCTGAAAGCCCACACTTTTGCGTTGCGTCGCATCGAGTGATCCAGTGCCCCACCCATACTTCAGGACTTCTATGAAGCTTCGCGGCCAAGGGACTTGCAAAAAGTTGCACCGTGTTCCTCAGCGCCACTGGCGTCCACAGAACCTCTCAGGTGCGGGCTAAATCTTGACTGGCGCCCCAAGTGCCTCCGAAACACTTGTGCAAGATCTCTTGGTGCAACTTTCCAAACGAGCCCGGTTGTCGATGCGAACATGAGGCAGGCTGTTCCTGCTTTGCTCAGAAGGGTGTCGCCGTCGCTGCAGAGACCTAAGCATAATACAATGGCAGCTGCGCGATAAAACACCGCCTTTTTCGTGCCACGAGCTCGTCGCAAAGGCTCAGCTTCTCCATGGCTAGGACCCCTAAGAGCCTCCAGCACCTTCCCCCAAGGTGCTGTGCAGACCTTGAGCAACAGGCGATAGGTCCGCCGGGTCTGCCTTGATTGCGGTTGCTGTCGCGTCTCCCAGACTGAAGTTCAGGTCTCAACAGCTCAGAGCCAGAAAGCCTCTTCACCAGTCGCCGAAGCCAAGCTTGAAGGGTACCTTTCCACAATGCCCCAATTTCCTTTCTAGGCCCATCGACTCTTGCCGCCGCCGCCTTTGGAAACCGTGATGCAGCGATCAGAGCTTGCGATCGCCATCCGACCTCGCGGGCACCTTTCGTGCCCATGTCGACAAGCTCGGCCCATCTCCAGGCTCCTGCTGGAGCTGACGCTGAGAGGGCTGGGACCCCTTCTGTGAGCCTCGAAGCAGGGATTGACCATCGGGGGCCCCCTTTGCCAGAAAGCAGGGTTTAGGCTGCAGAACGGGTCCCAAGCAGATCAAGGCTCAGATTTCTTCGATGTCATGTTGCAGCCCTGTCTCGCGAGCCGTCGACCATGCCAAGTCAAAGGCATACTTGGCCTTCCTGGCCCTAAAGGCAGCTTTCAGTGTGTCCTCGGCAAGTTGAACCAGGTCCCCGTAAATATGCAGATTGGATCTAGTCTACCCACACTTCGTCGACGCCGCCGGCGAAGGCGCATGAGACGTTGCGGTTTCATTCGGCAAGGCACCCGGAAGGCCAAAGCAGATACCTCGTTAGAGGTGCTGGTCGCCTTTATGCCCAAGCAGGAATTGTTGCAATTTTCTGCACACCTCCATGCGTCTTGCAATTGCCGATGTCTTTATGCATAGGGGAGCTCCCTATGTTATGCAAAGCCTGACCTCTGCCTGGCTCCAATGCCGGATCTTTCTTAGCCTAACCTCCTCTGACAGGCAGCTATTGTAAGGCACCAGCCTTCTTATCGTGGGTCAACCTTGGCTAGATCTTCCAGCGCTTCCGTTTGCCCCTTTTGGGGGTTTGGGTTTCCCGAAGTGCCCAAACCCGTAGAACAGGGAGCCCCACGTCGCTGGCTACTGGAAGACCTAGCTGAGAGATCCACCTAACTCAAGGTTTCCACAATTCCCAGGTTCAGGCGTCCAATGCCAAAGGTAAACATCCGAGATCTTCAAACATCTGGACCCCTGACTAAATTGACGGATGTTGCTAGATCTCAGACTCCCCAAACAATGCAGCTGAATGCTCTTCCACTGATCTTCCTGCACGCCCTGACTCTAAACTCTACTCACTCCCTAAACCCATCGAAAACTCGAAGAGCATCGGCCGTCAATTTAGCCAGAGCTTTCTGATGTCTCTTACCACCGAGATCTGGAGCTTCAGGCCTGCCTAAGCAAAGAGTCGTCTGCTGCTGAGGGTTTCAAAGCTGGAATAATCTGTAGCTGATACAACTACGCAAAAGCGTACACTTCTGAGGCCCAGGTGCATCAACTTCTCAGGAATAGACTCCGAAATTCACATAGTTTGGAAAGTTTCGACTTTGCTGTCTGAGGGTCAAACCTCAAGATTCTGGAGGGTTTCAGATGTGCGGCCCACTTCTTCAACCAACAAGGCCTCATGCAGTATTCTTCGGACCGCTGTGATGGCCAAAGCTCTTGCACTAGACAACCATGGTATCCGTACTATGAACATAGTTGTGCTTTCCTGCGTATGATGGTGATGATGGTGCTGGCGGTGATGATGATGGACTGCTCGGTCGTGATGGTGATGGTGATTGTGATGATGATGATGATGATGATGGTGGTGATGATGATGATGACGATGACGATGACAGTGATGTTGACGATGACAATGATGCCGATGGTGATGATGATGGTGATGGTGGTGATGATGATGATGATGAGCCGTCGTAACAGCAGCAGCTGCTGTTGCTGTTGTAGGATTGGTACTTCCGGCAAAACTATTCAACTCACTGCTATTGTTGCAGATGAGTGTGTCTGCAACTACTGTTCTTGCTGTTTTTGGTATTCCGACAATGCTCCTAATTGTTATTGCACCAACGCTGTTCGGGTTAAGAGGCTCGGTGCTCAAAGTGCGGCGACAGCCTCCAAGGTATCATGCCTAGATGCGGGAGGCTTCAAGGTCTTGATTAGTTTCAGAAAGCAGGGGACCTTGATGGCATGAGAAGGTCGATAAAGCGAGCCCAAACCTGTCAATGGTTTGGAGTTTGGGCTGGGGGTGTTGAGGTAACAGCCCTAACCGGCCTAACCCCAACTACCTAAGCCGGAAGCCTTGAACTGTGGTTTGGTGTTCAAGGTTCAGAGTTTTGTGTTGATGGCCCGTAATGGTGGGATCCTGGACGAATCGAGCAAAGGCCATGATCCCCCGCTGCGATGCGGCTGTCCGGGTTTGGGGTTTAGGGTTTGGGCCCCTTCCTGCCCTCTTTGTCCCACCCCTAAACCTGAACCTGGGAATTTGGGTCTCGCACTTCTCTGCATCTCTCTGCCCCTCTTTGGCTTAATGTGGGCTTCATTTGCTCAGACCCTACGCGTGCGGTTTATACGTGCTCCCCGAAACTGACATAAATTCGCAAAGCGGATCCAGCCGAGACGGTAGTTTCTCAGAAGAGAGCTGCTTCAGAACTCCACGTAAGTTCGGGGAAGTGCCGGCAGGTTTGAGTGTTGCAGCGGAAGGATGTTTAATTTTCAAACTTCACAGGCTCTCAATGGGAACTGAATGTTTTGATTTGTTGGGGTTTACTCAGGGCGTTGGGGTTCACTCGTGGGTTTCACGAGGTGAAGTTCGGATTATGAAGCATCTCAATTTGAGAGTTTGCGGTTTTGGCTGCTCTTCTACACTCTACTCTGTCCTGGGTCGCTTCCGCATAAGGAAGGCCATACTCTGACATGAACTCCAACTAGGAACAATTGTATCTCGTCATAACCCTGAGCCTTAAGCTTTAAACCCGGGACCTGTAAACTCAAATTCATAAAACCTTACGCCCTAAACCCTGGACCTACAACCCCAAATCATTGAAAAACTGTACGCCGTAACACGCCGTCCTCAAACCAAAGAGCTCCCATATTTACGCTAAACATCTCAACCCCAACACATAACCCTGAAGCCCGAAACCTACAAATCATCAAGTGAGAAAAGTCCTCAGCTCATACTGGCTGTGCTCCCGCGGCTCTTTGGGAGAGATTAGCCTCATTTTCCGAGCTCGTGATCCCCTGCGGCCCGCAGATTCAGCTGCAATGCCACCCAGCTCTGACTTGGGGTCTCGGTCGTAGGATTTGGTGTTGGGGTCGCAGAGTTCAGGGCTACAGGCTGTCATGTTCGAGGCGCGATCAACCCCAAAACACTCTTTAAGGCGCACAAACCGGAAACCTTGACACTCTTTAGGGTTTTGGGGGGTGTAGGGTTCAGGGTTTAGGGTTCACGGATCTATTTTTGCCACTGGTTTAAGGACCCTGGTCTTGCAAACCAGTCTGCATCATGTGCAAAGCACGATTCCGCCCCCCGGGGCCCAGCGATCTGACTTGCGGTTTAGGGTTTAGGGTGTAGGAGCTTAACACCATAGGCCATTGACCATGATTGTAAACCCTAAACCCTAAACCCTAAACCACATGGGCTTGGTCCAATGACTTGCTTTTTGGGTCGGTAAATCAATGGGTGGCCCAACCCAACACTTGGGAAGATAGTTCGGGCCGACCCAACACCCTCAGCCCTAAACCAGCCAAGCCAGAAAACCCTACAACCCGGATCAATATGATATCGGTGCAGCTGTTTCAGGTTGTGTGGGTAGGTGGGTGTTCGTGCGTTCTTGTGTATTCCTTTCTCTGCCCTTTGTGTTTCTCTCTCTCTCTGACTCGGTTTCTCGCTCACCCTCGCTCTCGCAAGTGATGCGTTTCTCCTCATGCTCATTGTCGTGGGACTTCTAGAAGTAGTCTGGCTCCCGCCGCCCGGGCCCAACGACTTCTCTGGGTTCTAATTTGACGAAGTGTGCTCAGGCCAGGGTCTCCGTCTAGGCAATACGGGTTGAAGGTTGGGCTGTCAGTGGCTGTGTGTTGCACGGAAGAGTGTGAGGTAAGCGAAGTTTCAGTACACTTCTTGATGGGTTTGACTGCCTCTGCAAGGTTCACCTGCTGCGCTGCGGAGTGCCTCGGCTGTGCCAGGCTGTGCCAGCCGGGCAGACGTAGAAGGTCAAATCGCCCAAGGCCTAAACCGTACCCGAAGTGAAGAGATGGACAGATAGATAGCTGGATCTTTGGATAGATGGATCGACCGGCTGATGGCTCGAACCCGTGTTTGGGATAATGCCATGGTAGGCACTGTTGCATCATAACATGAATTTGTGCAAAAACCCCGGTTTAAGATGCCTAGAAGCTGCGCTGCTTCCTGCCCAAATATGCCTCCGAGACCCAGAAAGCAAATTGGTTTTGGCGAAAGTTTAGTTTAAAAGCCGAAGTTGAAACAGAAACTGCACCCTAGGTTGTCCTGTAGGGTTGAGGTTTGGGGATAGCCTCCCCCCTGCACTGGTCTATGCCTACAGGCTTACAGGGTCCATGAAACTTCGTTTGCCGCGCGGGTGCGATGGGGACAAGTCAGAGAAGGATAGGAGAATCCTCCTTTCATCGCAAGCCCGTGCTCAGGCTTATGTCAAACCCCGAAACAAGATGCAACATACCGTAGGAGCATGAAGGGTCAACTGCCTAATCTTTTATGCTGAGCAGAAAGGTTGTGTGTGTGTGTGTGTGTCACACTTCCTGGTTAAGGATGTGTCAGCCACAACATTACCACCCAACTGCAGTCTGGCCGGTACAGCACGCATATCTGTAGCAAGTCGAAGCGGCAGGTGACGGAGTGTAAAGCAAGCAATACCATTTTCAGAGCTTCGCGCTTGCTGACGGCATGGGATGCCGTGCTGCAAAGTTGGGGATTCGAGGGCTGGGTTCTAGGGTTGTGATTTTTTGTAGTTCTAGGGAGCTTTAGTGAATTTTAGCGGCCCTTTGCGCGGGAGTGTTTGCAAAATTCCTGCCCTTGCGCACCCTGCCTACGCCGCAGCCCACAGACGGCTGGCCTCAATCCTGAAGCCCAAGAGTATCGAAACCACACTTCGGCCCTAGAGCCAAACACCTTAAACCCTAAATCCAATAAGCCCCCGGCGTCATAAGCAGAGGCTGCAGCCCCAAGCTTCCCAAACAAGGTCCGAGACCGTGTTCGAGGAGGTCACCCCCATACCTGTCTCCACAGAGCCCGCCGAGAAAGAGAGACCTGCGCAGGCGCAGATAGAGAGATGGAGATGTACAGGGCTCCATACGGACATGGACGATAGGAACAGTACGTACCAGTCTCTTTGTGGCGGTTGTTATTGTGACAAGGTGGTGCATGTCAATATGTCGCAGCAAACCCGGCTATCACTGCAATGCCGCCACTACCAAAGCCCGTTTTATTTTGCGCACGGGTATGCCTTTGTCGCCGCGAAGTGTCAAATTTCCTTGTGTTGTGCTCTCCGTCTACACCATGCAGGAGCACTCCTCTGTTGCAAGGCACAGGCTTTCTCAGGGCTCACCGGAACCATCTGCTGTCAAGTAGACCAGCTCAGCGGCAGAGCTGGTCGTCCTGAAAGGAAGAACATCGAGACTACTAGTGCGGACAGTAACGATGATATCGAGTGTAGCATGCATGCTTGGACTGCATTTATCAGTAGAGCCATCGTCCAAGTCACAAGTCTGGCTGATGGAGAAGACTGGTTAGAGGAGCTAGCTAGCATACGGAAGCGACATCATCGTAGGAGTGCGCAAGCAAAGGGAAAGGGTCAACTTTACAGCACTCCCACCCGGCTGTCTGAATGTGGCTGGTTTGTTAGTTTATGGGGCAGAATCGTTATCTCAGTGTTGATTCCGAGTTTCTACAAGAAGTTTACTACAACATCAATGTCTTCCGCAAAGCTTTTCTTGGATTCTGCGGTGCCGTAAACAGTGTCTTCTTTGGCATCGAAAGGTCTATTATCAATGAAAGTTATGAAGACGCAAACGAAGAGCATGACTAGGACTGTATTCCTGATTAGATGTGGTATCAGCTTGGGTGCCGCTGTTACCTCTGCTCTCTTCTTCTTGTCCTTCTCCTGCCAGCACGTTCCCAACTTGTAATCCTGCTGCGACCATTGATGTTTCGACCACCACCACCACCACCACCACCACCACCACGAAGTCCACTAGTGGTCTTGCCTGATCTGCTCAACAACGCCTCAGCAGGCCATCGTCGAGACGCCGGTGGCAGAGGGAGTGGTCTTCACTTTTCAGCTCCCGGACAACACTTCGAGGGAGGCACGCTGTTCCAGGGTCTGAGTCTAGGGCTAGGATTCGGATTAGAGTGGTAGGGTTTAGGGTTGTTTACGGTTGAAGTTCAGAGGATACCACGTCCCGAACTCTAACGTCTCCAAAGCAGAAAGCGGCAAAAACTCCGAAACCTGCAAAATAGCCGAAGCCCTCAACACACGGGTATGCCGGCTATCCCTGGCTTGTAGTCTCCCTTGGAGCAAGAATGATTGCTTGGGGACGGTTGAGGGCTCTAAGGGTGCTTGGATCCCTTCACAAGTGCAACAGCGGAGCCTGAGTGGTTTCCGTTCCATTCATTTCCATTCCTTCCCGGTCTTTGTACATCCCGAAATCCTCCAAACTCCAAGAACCATGCAGCAGTTCTAATCATGACTTAGGCAGATGAGTGAAGAGATAGCAACAGTAGTCTGATACTGAATGAGAGTGACCAGATAGTGAGTGATACTGCCAAAACAACAACCAGCATGTGCAAGCGCACAAACGCGCAGCGAGCTTGACTGGTTTCGGAAACCCCGGCACAGTCCGAACTCAGCATCTGCACGGGCTATAGTTCCGTCTCTAGGTGGTGGCATCTGCTGGGCCAGGAGTCAAAAACACCGTTTTGGTTATCTTCACGGCAAGTGGTGCCAAGACATCCAAAGTCCCTGCTACCTGCCACACTTTTCTGCACCTCCACGAAAACGCGCCTGCATACGGGGCATTGTTTGTGGGCGCGCGCGCGCGGTAATAGGCATAATTTTGTGCCTCAGCGCGGGGTCTGGGAGTCGCTGGAAGAACTGCACTCTGCCTTGATCCAGGTTACGTTCAAGGCGAAGCCATTGGGTTTGGATTTCAGCAAAGCGGTGCCCATGACCGTGAAAGCGGTGAAGAAGGACCGGCTGCAGGTTCGAGGTTTAGGGTTTAGGTTCGAGGTTGAGGGTCTAGGATTTGGTTTCAAGGGTTTCGGGTTTAGGCTTTAGGTTCAGGACTTTGTGCTGCAGCTTCTTTGGAGGGCTGATCTACGTGCCTGTATAGGCGGGAGTACTGTTCCTCAAAAGCCCTGATGTATAGTAGGAGTAGGACCACAGTCACGATGTGCAGCCTTCTGTATTTATTGCGGTGTAGGAAGGCGTCAGAGGCGTTCGTGTGCGTGCCTTGTTCCGGTGAGGGGGTCCGAGGCTTCCTCGGGGCGTGGTGCGATGAGGTGATGACCTGAGCCTTGCGGATGTCAGGTTTCAGGGCTGAGGGCTTGATATAGGGGGTCGGAATCATAAAGGAGCAGTATCCTCTTATCGTGCACCTATACTTCACGCATACTCTACCCCAAAACCCCATTCAAATTCGCGATGAAGGGCCCCTCTCTGTAAGCTGTTGATGGTTTCCAGCGCTGGTCCCAGAGACGGGACCCCAAATTGAGGAAGTACTCAGGGATCCCCGACAAGAGGTCTGGGTTTGACCCTAAACCCGAAACCCTTGACACCGTGCTCATAAACCCAAAACCCGATACCCCAAACCCAGAATCTCCATGGCAAGGATTCCTTTGCAGACCAGCTCCAAATCCAGCCCAAGTGGATCATCACACATGCCGGAACCTTGGAAAGATCCTGAGAATGCAGGAGTCTGGGGTTTGATGTTAGGGTTTACCTTGCAGCGTGAGTCAATTGTTTCTGGGCATTGTGATACCCGTAACGCCGTATGGTGACCGCACTACCTTCCTTTCCACAGTGCGAACATCTTATTTTGCTGCCATTTCCAGCGTATGAGCGCTTCACCAAGTCGATCTGGAAGCCGAGTCTCGTCTTAGCTTCCGCTGTCTAAAGGGTAGAATAACACTTGTGGCAGCCCTAAAGTACCCTTGTAGTAACACTTACAGTACCCTTGTCGTAACCGTTATAGTAACCCCAGTAGGCTTCAAGCTGGAGACGGCGACTGGGACAAGAATAAATATGACTCCCTCTGGTTTATTCCTGTTTACACAATAGACTACGTCCCACCAGACTGTTCCACATACTTAGGGCCCTGTCCTTCCTGTTCCCACCTCTCCAAAGACTATGCAGCCTTATCCGATTGAGGCGCATGGTCAGGTCTTCATGTACAGTTTGGACGGTGACTTGTGACCTCGCGTTGGATGTTGTGGCGCCTTCCTTTTGTGCTGTTGGTTGCTGGCCGCCGTTGAAAAAATGTAGTAGAGTTTCGAGAATCAAGAGACAATACCGATACAAGACATCCCGAAATCCCCAAACCCCAGAGCCCCGAACAGACCTAGCCCTAAACCTTAGAAAAGAGGTCCACTCTCTGATGGCATCGCTAGCAGCCCTATTCGTAACCCTATCGGTAAGCCCGGTAAGCCTGGGAAGGGGCAAGTGCTTTGAGCTTGCCAGGTCCAGCGCAAGCCGCTGCCGGAGGAGTTGAGGGATGCCATGAAGATCATCTTGCACCCAGACCACACAGGTGTTGGGTGTTAAGGGTTTTGGAGTTTGGGGCTTAAGGGTTAGTATTTTTGACACGCGGCTTCACATTAGACTAGAAATATTGTTTCCGTTCCATGGCATCCTGCTAACCCTGTCCCACGTAGTACGTTTCAACGCAGCCACGACCTTGTTCGAATTCCTGGGCCTCCATGCCTTGGTTTAGGGTTTAGGGTTTAGGGTTTAGGGTTATATCCCATGCCCCTGTTCAACGTGGTTTTGGCAACTGGGGTCCTGTAGCTCCAACTGTATTTAAACCGGAACTTAGAGGGGAAACCTGGGGCAATTGAGCCCTTAGTCCCTCAAGCTGAAAAACGCTAAACCGGATCGAAGCTTCAGCTACGGCAACTTTCTTCAGGGGGCTGCGTGTGCTTGCGCGTGTTTCTTGGGGGTGTTTCGGGCGGAGGGGGGTTAGAGTGTATGGCTTCGGAGTCTCAGGATCGTGTCTAGGATTTACCGTTGAGCAGGGTTTGGATATCCGCTGCTCATATTCGGGCAAAGGGATGCAAGTTTCCGGTTCGGCTCGCCCTTGTAAGAACAAAGAATGGATGAGTACCGAGCCCCGAGACCGAACCTCGAAGCAGTCACTCAAGCAAGCATCTCAAAACTGCTGGATAGCCAAGGCAAGAAGTGAAGGACTGGCGGCTGTTGTTCTCTTTGGGCAGTGGGTGTCTGGTTCATGGCTATAAGGAAGGGAGGTTGAATTTTGCAAGATTGATATCGGTTCATGGCGCTCGAGTGTCGATCCGGTTGTTTCGGATCCTGAACCCAGAACACCAACTTCTGTAGCCCACGCTTGGTTTGTCGCTCCAATGGGCTTCCAGGCGTTTCGAATTTAAAGCCCATAGGGTGGGGAGGGAGTCTTACGATCACAACCTCTCAGACCACTGGCCGCAACCTCCATCCACCTTAGGACCCCTGAGGATGAAAGGGCATACATGGCCAGAGAAGCAATTGCTTTCAATGCGTCACGGCGTGTGTGGGCTTTGGACTTTCGAGTGTGCCCGGGATTTGGGATTCAAGGGGTTGGGCTTTGGTAGCAGAAGGTGTCGGTGCTGCGTTGTTCGTAAGGTTTCATTGCAGAGCACAGCATGGCACAGTACTCCCTCCATGACTGGAGTCTCTCTTGCAAAGCGCACCAGGGTCTTTGGTAGAAGGCACGGACTTGGGGAACCTACGCCGTATGACCGCAGCAGAGACTGCCGCGTGTCAACGAGCGCAACCACCACCATAGCTTGTGTCGAAAGGTGCATACTGACCGAAGAGATACAATGTCCCGATAGCCCTCAAAGTGCATGGACTGCAAGGACTTGCCTCAGCAGTGAGCATTAGAGCACAAGCGGCGTGCGCCAAGTGAAGCGGGACCAAGGATCGGCAGTAATTGTCCTGCTTAGACCTGCTCGCCATTATGCTCAGTTTTGGGTGTAAGTTAAGGCAAAATCATACATCATAGCATGCTGTAAGCAAAACCACCTCCCAAAGGTGACGAGGGGTTTCATAAACAAGAACCTTAGACACGTAGGTCGTGCGAGGCAGAGCATGCTTCACTAGAAGATCGTCATGCTTGTGTAGGGTTCTAGGCCCAGGACCCTACGCCACTGCACACCGGTCTAGCGATGATTGTGAATATGATCATTCACCGAGGCCGTTTTCCTAGGTGAACCGGCGTATAGGGGTTGTGTTTAAAGTGTGGGGCTCAGGGGTTTTGGCAGAGGTTCTTCGTGCAGTGAGTTTGTGATGGCCGGAGCGTATACACTCGAGATAGGATTGGCATCCTCCCGCTTCCCGCGCTGCCACGGACTTCTATGCTTGCCCGTTTTGCAAGCATCCCTTTTTGCAGTCACGCCTTCTACGTGACCAGTTAGTATTCTCTCAAAAGGCTCCCAAAACATCAGCATTTAAGCGTGGAAATTTCTCTTTTTGGATGTTGGCCGTCGTAAGTTGGAAAGCGACAGGATTGCCAAAGTTTGGGTCCGTGTCGTGCAAAGAGGCTCATCGAAGTTCTTGAGAGGGATGGCGCAGCCTTGAAGCCCTGAACTTTAAGATTATAGCATGAACCGAATCCGCAACATGCAGAGGGAGCTCGATTCAGGCGATCGATGTGTGGTGGGGCTGAGTGGTATGGCGGCTTCGAGAAATGTCTGACTAGCTTTGGTTGGGTCCGGTTGTGTCTATGCGCTTCAGCATAGCGCTTTGTCATGTCCACCTTCAGTTTCAATTCCAGTCCTCTTCCGCCATTTCTCAACTGCCTCAACCTTCGATCACACACACTGCGATGACAAATTTTCAAACGACGTCAAAGGTGTCAAATGCCCAAATGAAGGCCCATAGCTGACCAAGATCCACACGAAGGTGTGACAAAATCGATGCTCCGCGCTGGAATAATCTGCCTCATCGTCACTAAATGCTTGTATTTTTGTATCATACCCCCAACCCCCATTCAAAGCAGTAAGGGCTACTATGGAAGCACTCCCCTTGAGGGGCTGAAGATCTTCCAGCCTCCATGTGCCCTCAACATAGGAGGCCCAGAAGATAGGGGTCTGAATAAATCGCAATAGCATTCCCTCAGGTCCCACATAGTTCTACCATGCCCTATACCCCAAAACGCTATTCAAATCGCTGGGTTCAATTCGCTGAGACAGCTAAGACCTAAGTCAAATGGGATCAGAGTACCGAGCTTTGGGATTTGAGGAGGGCAGGATTTAGGGTCTATGGGGGTAACGGTAAGGCGTAGTAAACCAGGGACGATGTACATTCATATTTCGGGCTTTAAGCTCCGCCCCAACGACTCCCGACTCCCAGCTCGAGCTGAAGTTATGTGGGGGCCTCGATCATTGGAGTGTGGCCGGTTCAGGGTGTGGGCTTTAAAGTCTTGAGCAGGACCCCGAATCAGATCATGACTAGCCGGACAAAAACCCAATCAGCTCAAGCCCACAGCGTAAACTGTAAGCCTTATACTTGTTCAGACCTGCGCCCGGGGATTGCCCAACCTTGCCGTGACGGCAGAAATCATAGGAGTGTCAGCCACGTGGTTCGTGCTTACTTCCGATTTAGCCGACGCCCCCTCCTACAACTGACCTTGCCGAGAGCATAGAAACAAAAGGCTGTATACCAGATAACATACGATCTATAATACAGGTTATGGAATAGGGAATATGGAACATATGGTGATGTAGAACATCGAAAACCTAACATATAAGAAATTGTCTATCATGTAGCAAGTATTGCTGTCTACAAATTGCCAAGTTTAGCTGGTAGTCGAGATGCGCTCATATGGATTTAGGCATCTCAGACCTTTCGAGCAGCGTGTTCGCTCAAGCTTGTTCGCGCTTCTACTCCCGACTCCGCTTCTGGAGTCATGCTGCCTGGTGTGAAATACACAGGGGCTCAAGTGATAGACTTCTCAGGGAGTCCCTAGCAGGGCCCTAGACAAACAGGCATACCCAAAGAGGAGCCTCCTGTTGACGAACACTTACTACTACGACAAACCCATATCTCAATAGCTAGCTTTTGGCGAGCCCTGACATAGAGTTTGGGGCGCATTTTCAGGATCTCGGCCTCGAATACGGGGAACTCGCATAGAAGGTCCGCAGTGAAGAAAGTACCAAAGAACTTAAAACGACTCGAAGAGTTGGCTTTGCCCCTGAGCAACCCCTACAAGCAGGGTGTTCGCTTTTTTGAGTATAGAGTTCAAGGATGAGGACTTAAGATGTGGGATGTGGGAATTTAGAGCCTAGGATGCGTCGCTTCCAGCTGCAGGCACAAAGTCCGAGCATGTTTAGGGCTTGAGGCTTGGGTGTCGGCTTTAGGGCCGTTAGGGTGAACTCTGAAGGCCTTCGTGTGAACCATTTCTCGAAGCCGCCTGCGCATGCAGATCTAACTTATGGCAAAAGCTTGTCAGTCAAACTCCCGGCGTAGCGCCCTGAACCCAAACCCCAGACCTCAGAGTCTGAAGCCGGCAAGCTCCGAAAGCAAAGCCCCAACAATCTGAATCCCCGAAAAGTTTTCAATACCCGCGATTTCTAAACTGCGAGCCCTAAGAGCCCAGCACCCCAAACAATGATCTCAAAACGCTGGGGCACAAAACCCAGTTTTCGCAAAGCCCTCAAGCCGTATGCGTCAATAGGGGGCCTTATAAAATTACTACCTATATTATTCTAGGGGTTCCTTGTTATATTTATAGTAGAATATACCCCAAAACCCTGTTCTGATTATTAAGGCCCCTACATCAGGTTGGTTCAGGGTTTAGGGTTTAGGGTAGGCTCCTTAAACTCTAACCCCGTGAACCCTGAACGCTTTGAAGCATCACGCCCTAACAAAGGGCTTTCTGCACTTGCTGCGCCGCGGAGTGCCTCTGCTGCAACGGCAAACCAGCGGTGACTTCAGGGTCTGTGGGGCGTAATGTAGGGGCCTAAATACTATGTTGGGGGTCCCTTATCATAGTTATAGTATAACTGGCCCCAAAACAAGCTATATCACTTCGATTAGGCTCCGAGGGCCTGAATCGGAATTGAGACTGCAGCGTTCAGAGTTTAATGTTCAGGTCGGGGCTTTTGGGGCTTTGGCTTTGTGGTTTTGAGGCTTGAGCTTCGCAAGGGCTGTCTCAGAAAATGCGGGTTGAGGGTTTGGAGATGACCTTCTCGCCTGAATCCCTAAAACTCATCTAGAACGGGGGCAAGATAAGGCTTGCGGGCTCAGGCTGGTTTGCTCGAGCTTGCTCGCAAAATATCCAGCGGGGCACGATCTAGGCTGAACCGAATATAATAAGGACCATTACAACCCTGAGCCAGAGAACCCTGACGGCTTAATCCTGAAAGCCCTGAACGATGACCTCGTGCTCGTATCTATGCTGCGGAGAAAAAGTCAGAGATCCAAAAGGCCGTGCACCTCCCTGGCACGCATGATGTGGGGTTCTGTGAAGTTTGGGTTCCTGTTGAGGGGTGGCTATTTCGGAAACGGGTCCGACCCCATCTATACGGGCAGCCTACAAAGCCGTCTTAACTCAAGCTTGAAGATCTTGGGGGGTTCTGACTTACTCAGCTCTGTTCACTGCTTCGATGCGTGGTCTCCTCTACAACAATCACAGAAAGAAGTCGGCGGTTCGTCCCAGGATACTCCGAAACCCGAAGCCAAAGAAACCCAGAAAAAACATCTTAACTCTCCCCCCTTCCCCGAAAGTTCGTATTAAATCTCCCCAAGTGTGAAGAATCCCACAAACGAACCGAGGACCGAGGGTGTGGTGGAAGAAGTTCCCCCAGCCGCCGCCGTGGCGGTGGCGGAACCTCCCAAGGCTAAGGCTCGGGCACTTAAGGGCCGCTTCTGGGTTGTGTCTAGGGTTTCGGGTTTGGGAGGTTTCGGGGCCTCTTGGGGTATATTTCTAAGGTCCTTGAGACTCCTACAGCGGTTTAGTTGGAGCTCCCTCTGCCCAGGGACAAGGATTAAACGAGACACCCGTACGCGCCCAGTCACCCTCGTCAGGTCGTGGAGGAGGAGCCAAAAGTACCGGCTCCCGCGCCTGGCGTGGTCTTCACCTTCTTGACTCCGGATCCTTGGGTTGGCATGGAAGGGTTTTGTACGGTTTTGGCAAGGGACCAGATTGGTGCCAGCAACTTTCGGGCCATTGTCTTATGTCGTGTTCAGCAGTGCCTCAGTCGAAAGAGTGCGATAGGAGTACGAGGTAAGATCAAGCTTCGTAAGCAGCTGGTAAACAACTGGTAAGCAACTGGTAAGGAAGGGTCGGGCCTATCCTCCTCGTGCTACATCTCCTCCGCCTCTCTCCTCCTCTTCGTCCTCCCAGCAAAGGGCACGAGCCACTTACGAGACACGAACCATCCCTTTCTCTATCTTCGTCTACATCAACACGTGCCAGAAACCAAGCCGCTTACGACTGAATTAGGAGGGCCCCTGGAAACCGGTTAAGCATCAGAAATGATCACCCGAAAAACCAAGCAATCTTACGAGCTGATGTGGCGACACGTATCAATTATTTATACATGTGTATGTGTATATATATATATATATGTATATATATGAGAGTAGGGTATATTTAGCGCCTTGTTTCCTCCGGATATTTCAATATTTCAATTATTTTAATTATTTTGGATAGCGCGAGAACCAAAATAATTAAAATAATTCAAATACCCAGACCGATTTGAATTATTTTGATTA